GTCAGGGACCGATGTGGGGGAGGAAGGACAGTTGGGAGTGGAACCGAACGCCTAGATTGCGCATTGGTTCGTTGAGTCTGAAGAGCCCAGGGCAGTTGAGGACTTTAGATCCGCAGGCGTGAAGACATTGACGGGAGCCAAGGAGTATGGCTTTTGTCTTGTCCACATTCAGCTGCAGGAAATTTACACTTATCCAGGCTCTGATGTCTGCCAGACAAGCTGATAGAACATCAGCAGACCTAGAGTTGGTACTGGACAAGGCAAAGTAGATCTGTGTGTCAACTGCATACATGTGGGTTTACCTTGTGTCTGCAGATGACATTGTCCAGAGGGAGTATATAGATGAGGAAAAGAAGAGGGTCAAGGATGGAGCCCTGGGGTATCCTGCAGATGACCGGGCAGGGGCAGGAGGAAAAACCATTTGCTGAGGTGAAATAGAGGTGGTTGATTAAGTAGGACACTTGCACATTGAAATCCCAGAGATAGATTGTTGGCATGGAATGTGCACTCTCTCCCTGGAGGGACTCATCCTGCTTCCCTAATTCCAGAAAGCGCTGGTAAAAGCCAAGGCTTGGGGACCCCAGAGTTTGCGTTGCGGTACTGCAGGAGTCTAACCAGCTAAAACTGCATAGCTTGCCATTAATATCACTGTTTGGCAAGCTTGGATCACCCTACTCATTAGGGCTTTGGTTTGCATTTCAGTTCAGCATGCAAGTACTGTAATAAGGATTCAGTAATATGTGAATTTTGGAGTCCTGTAGTGTATTGGTTAGAGCACTCTTCTCAGAAGTGACAGGACCCGGGTTCATTTCCTGGGCAGGGCGAAACCTAAGGCAAGTTTCCTTACTCCACCCATATTCCTGCTGACTTATCAGTAAGTAGGAACCCGGTTGTTAGTCGATTAGCGGATTGCTTTCTGGAGGTAATAATCCCTTCTGATTGCTGCTGTGTGCAATTGGCTGTCCCATTTCACCCACAAAAATATAGTCAATTCATTTTACAGTATAGTCTATGAAGCGCTTTAAGATATCCAATGATGTAATAAGGTGCTATATCAAGTGCAAGGATTATTATTATCATAACTCATCCAATTGCTTTGGAATCGGATTTGGATCCATTTATTCTCATCTGCTCCTTCTGCTGGATTAGGTCATGCAGTGTCCAGGTCACATTTGCTCCCAGGCTTGAACAGTTATTAGAGACTGAATCCTGTGAGAATGTGGCTGGAGGGCAGGCTCTCAGCCACTAAAACATATACTGTGGCTATGGCACCCCAATGTGTTGCAGAACAAGATTAACTAGAGGCAGCCTATAGCACCAGGTGTTGGCTGAAAGCTATCTGTACACGACTCAGTTGCAGATCACTGCCAGCACAGTACCACACTTTGCTGCACTTCACTCATAAATAACCTCACTTTAAGCCCAAATCAAATCCCAAATGACCTATAGCCTAGAATCTATTGCTCACCTTATTGGAACAGAGCAATGGACCAGTAAGATTGTTCTGTTCAGTATGGCAAACATGGCAACTAATTCACCTCCCAGACAAACTAAGGTACTGTAATAAGAGCCCACTATTCATCCCATAAATATTTTGCAACCTGCTATTTGTGATTTTTGGCTTTATTGATTTTGGTAGGTGAAGGTTCTGATCTGAGTGAAACAGCGACTATGTACGGGGTGGGGGAGAGAAGTTAATAAACATTTGGTCTATATTTAACACTGAATCCTGTGTTAGTAAACTTGCAGTCTTATCAGTTGGAACCATAATATTTAATAGGACTTATGTGAAGTATGAGTTACAGGCAAATTCACATAAGGCATATCAGCTGACTTAATATGACTTATGCAAAGTTAACTTTGTTTTTCATAACATGATAACAGGTTTCCCACACTTGTTTAAAACACAGCACTAAGCATGCATGCGGTACTTCATCAATACAGCCAATTGTTAACCTTTCAAGACCACAGAAATTCCCCTTTTGTCCAGGATTACTGAATGCAGAAATGTTTTAGAGGAGGGGCAATCTTATACGTTATACATGTCGAGCGCCTTGGGATATCCTCCTGATGTGAAAGGCGCTATACAAATGTAATTTTGTATTGTATGTCACATTTAGCAATGGCGCCTTGTGCCACATAACTCAGCATGAGATATCACTCATTGTTTTCTGACATATTTTGTCATATGTTGAAGTAATTGAGGTATACTAACTTTTGTCCAATGGCATTAGATTGACAGCAACAACAACAACTTGCATTTATATAGCATCCTTCACTTAGGGTAATATCTTGGTGCTTAAAGCAGTAGTTAGTTGTTCTTGATAAGTTCATGCAAAGATTCCCACACATTTTCAAAAGATATTGAAAGCATAGTGTAATGCATGCTTTCTGCTGAAATCTATCTGCACCTGGATCTACTTTGCGAGAAAAAAAACTTATTTTAATGCGTGAAAACAAGGAACGTAGCTTTTCATTATTCTCTAGGAATTCATGGCCTAGTTTTTCTGAACACTCATCTATAATATACCCTTAATGGGAGTTAGTATAATGTACTCAGTAGAATGCACATAACTTTCCAAGACATAATCCCATTTCTGAAGAATTTCTTTATGTACCGTTATAATGGAGCCGAAAGGATCCAATAGAGGTTTTCAGAAATTGGAGCAGTTATAATAGATTTTATGGAAAAGCTGTTTCCACCTATTGGCAAATTTAACTGGTCACTAATTTTGTACTTTGACTTGCAGCACCCAGTAATAATACAAACTATGCTGTAAGGCAAATGGTAAATTGAATTGACACAGAATTATTGTGTGTGTTGCTTAGCATAAGAACACTCTTAAACACTTCAACTGGTGAAAGGGTCACCTCCAATAATGTTTCTGCTAGCTCAAAATACCATTCAGATTAAGATTTTCAAAATTTACGTGTTTTGCCTCGTTTCCAACGGGCTGCATCAGCAGAGGTCCACAGAACTACTTGAAGCTGCAAAGATATCTCGTACAATCTTTTATTTTATAATAATCCCTCCAAAACCAAAAAAAAATAAATTGGTCATTTTCAATCTACGACTGTTTGTGGGACATTGCTGTGCGCAATTGGCTGCCGCGTTCGCCATCAAATATACAGTCAATTCACTTTACAGTGTGTTCTGTGAAGAGCTTTGGGACATCCTCCCGACGTGAAAAGTGCTATATCAAATGCAAGGGTTATTATTATTATTATTAAAGCATTGTATTTATACAAAGATACACTAGGTTTGCTAAGCAGACAATATATTTTTCATTCAGAATACACCACACATTACTCTACATGCAGCCTACTGATTACATAAACTATGCTTTCTTACTCTTAACCAGCTAAGCAAAGATTCCTACTATATAACCTTCTCCCCAGGAAATCTTTCTCAACAGCTGCCAATTGTAACTATGGGATACATCCTATTTAACAGCAGTGGAAATTTTGTCATGGAAGGACTCCTGCAATGAATTGACTGTATATTTGTGCGCAAAATGCAGCAGCCAATTGCATACAGCAGTGTCCCACAAACAGCCGTGGATTTATTGACAAATTACCAAAGGGATTATTACCCCCAGAAAAGCGTTGTGCCAATCGAGTAACAACAACAAAATTACATTTATATAGCGGCTTCCACATTGGGAGGATTTCCCAAGGTGCTGTAACAACCGGGTTGCTACTTATTGCTAGGTAAACAGAGGTGTGTAGAGTAAGGAAACTTGCTTAATGTTTTGCCTTGCCTAGGAATCGAACCCAGGTCTGCTTGCTTGTGAGGCAAGTGCTCTTACCACTAAGCTACAAGCCTCCATAATTGTATCATAATACCATTACCAGCAGAGGTGTACAGTTGGCAAGTTATATTGAAATCCAGTTTCCAACAGAAGTTTCTTAATAGCACAACTCGCTCCTGTTGCTCCAGTAACTTATTTAATGGATAGACGCTTTGATGAATCACAGCAACACAATACTGTGTTTACCATTATTCTTGCATTTTGTTGCAAATGTCATAGTGAACTTAAATAGATAGGTAGCTGATGGTGAAATCAAATGATGTCAGTAAGATTCAAATTTTGAAAGAATGGTATGATATTGTTCACACAATAATAAATAAATAGTAAATAATAAACCTTGCATTTGATATAGTGCCTTGTCATGTCATCATAGTGTTTCAAAGTGCTTCACGGGAATTTACTCTAAAATGTAGTGACTTTGTATTTTGTAGATGAAACAGCATATTCTCACAAACAGCCATAAATTGAATGATTTAGTCATATTTGGAGGATTTTTGGTCACGGCACCAGGAGAAACTCAATCCTCTTAAAATAATGCCATGGGATTTTTAACGCTCCACCTGAATACGTAGATTAGACCTCAATTTAATGTTTCCATCTGAAATATCTGGCACCTCTGACAATTCAGCACTTTACATTGAACTTCAATATCAAAGTATTTCAATGGTTCCAGTTATACCTACTCAGCAGCATGTTGTAATGTCGATCACCCTCCTTCCCCCTCTGCCCTCCACCCTCGCCAATCCCGACCCTCAGCTTGGGTCCAAAACACTGACTGTCCAGCACCTTGGGACATCCTCCCAATGTGAAAGGCGCTATACAAATGTAATTTTGTTGCTGTTGTTATTGTTATAATATTCAAATGAATGAGAGGAAAATGAGAGAATGCATATAACTGGTAAACACCAACCAGTATCTCAGGAAACAATATACTGTATATCTTACAGAGTTGGTCCTGCTTATTAGATTTGATCCTGCTTAAGACTAAGGTAAACATGTTAGTCTGTGGTCTGTTGAGATCATGAGAAACAAAATCCAAATAATTGTGAAAAACTAGTAGAAGATCATGCTATCATTGGTGTGTCAAATCCAGATTAGAAAACTAATATACCACAACAAATCAGGTTACCAAATATTAGCTCACTGTAATTCTGCTGGAACTAAACACTGATGTGGTTTGTTTTTCAGAGGACGACTTCATGGGAGAGGAAGAAGAGATGCATTCCTTCAGATGTGAACAAACTGGTTTGTAAAAAAAATTAGTTTTTTTTAAATAGATTCCGTTTTCATTAATTTCTTGTAATGACATTTGAAACAGAATATCAAGCTTGCTCAGCAGCATAGCAGAACTAAAAAGTTGTTGTCAGCTCATTTCTGTAATGTTGTGTATTGATGTTTTGAAGCGGCTTCTCATTTTGCTTTGTGTCAAATTCAGATCACAAATTCACACACCACAAAAACTCATCTGTATTAGTGTAGCTCTCCATTAAAGCTGTGTTACTAGCACCAACATCCATAAAGTAATTTGCACCGTTTTTCAAAAATCTGCTCAGAATGCAGTTAACTGGTCAGGAGCTGAAAATCTGGTTGATTTTCCCTGCTCTAACCTGAGGAAACTGAGGGGTTAATTGTAGCAACCCAAGTACTGCCCTGACTGATAGCAAACTGAACTGTTGCTTCACTGGAATGATGACTAGTAAACCCAGATTAATTATTTAGGATGTATCAAGACAGTACAACAAGAGGACATAAGTTTAGAATCGTAAAGAGCATTTTCAGGATAGATTTTATTTATGCAAAGGGAAATCAACAACAGAAACAAGCTGCGAAGAAAGATAGTGGAGACCAGGTCACTAAACTTATTTAAATGATGATGGAGAGACAGTAGGGTGGGTGTTCTAGACGGATGAGATTAAATGGGCCGAAAGGCCTTATTCATCCAGACCAACATGGAGATCTTGTGATGACTAGTACTAAATGAAAGATTGTGCATTTAAGTGTAAAGAGGGTTTTATACAGAGTTGGTAACAGCTGCTTATCCACATTCAGCATTGCCCAGAAAGCCTAGTGGTTATACTGGTGTAAGGTCACCACTGGAACTTTCAAAGATGTAGAAATAAAATTTGGAATTTACAGCAGGTCAATTGGCATCTGAAAGAGAAATATCAGTTAACAATAGTGACCTTTCACAGAACATAGGACCTTGTTCTGATAATCACACCCAACACATGCACCTTTCAGGCGTCTTGTTTGACCCTCAACTATCCTTTCTACCCCATATCTGCATCATGACCCGTTCTGCCTTCCCCCACCTCCGCAACATCCCCCGGCTCTGCCACTGTCTCATACCACATATACACTATCATTATATCGAGGCTCGATAATGCAAACTCATTGCTTGTCAGCCTCCCCAACTCCTCCCTCCATAGGCTGCAGGTAATCCAGAACTCTGCTGCCCACATCCTCTCCCGCACTAGGCTCCTTGACCCCATCACCCCCATCCTCGCCCGACTCCATTGGCTTCCCATCACACAGAGGATACAGTTCAAAATCCTGGTCCTTATCTTTAAAGCCCTCCACAGTCTTGCTCCCCCCTACATCTGCGACCTAATAACACCCTACCATCCTGTTCGCTCCCTCCGCTCATTGGGCTCCGACCTGCTTCACGTCGCCTGCCTCACTTGCCGGGTGGAACTTGCAGGCGGAACTTCTGCCACTCTGCCCCCACCCTCTGGAACTCCATCCTGCAGTCCCTCCACCTCGCCCCCTCCCTTGCCACCTTCAAGAGTCATTTCAAGGCCCTCCTCTTCAACCGTGCTTTAAATCTCCCTGCTTGCCCCCCTGCTCTTCACCCTCCCCAACCCCGACCCCCAGCTCGGGTCTGAAACTCTGTCCAATGCCTTGGGACGTCCTCCCAACGCAAAGACGCTTTACAAATGTAATTTTGTTGTTCTCTCTCAGATGCACCTTTCTCTCTCTGGGATGCTAGCCTGCACTATATAAATGCAGGTTGTTGTTGTTATTAATGCCAACTGGCCTTTTGTATCTGTCCAGCAGCTTGTGTTTTTATTTCAGATTTCCAGTTTTTTTTTATTTTAATCTCTCCAGCTTTACATTGGCAGGACAGCTGTTATATTCCACCCAGTCACCAGGTTTACAATGCACTGGAAGTTATGCATCATATATTGTGGTACTTACATTCTTAGCCAATAGCTCTGGCCACACACGCAGTTATGTAACTCGTTTCCATCCACAAAAAGCAAAACAAACCAAATACTCTTTAAGTCACATTGAAATCTAATTTATGCTCATTGCTAAAATAATAGTGATTTTTTTCTCCACTAAGCCTTTCTAATGGAATTTCCACATGATAAATATTTAATGAAAATGATTGTTTTTCTCAGTATAAGTTCAGGCCCATTGAGAATAATGGGAGACCAGTCGTATCTGGAAAGGAAATGGTTAATTTGGCCCTACCTTGTATTTTCATGAAGTAATAAAGCTGTTGATTTTTTGCTGCAAAGCAGCTCTCAGGAGTCTGCACTGACTCCTGAGCTTTATAAAAGCCATAACTTGCCATGCAGTCTGCTCTGAGGTCTAACGCAAACAGTGAGCTGGCTGAGATAACTAGTGCCTCCAAACATCAGCACCTGAAGTGGATGAAGGTCAGAACAGTTCCTGCCAACAGCTGGTAAAACTTATTTTCCAGACAACCCTTCTTTACATCAAAAGGTTTCAGAAATATAGTTTTGTGGCTGAATCATATAAAAAAATTAAATCAGGTTTTGCTTTCATTAAATACTTAATTTCAGCTCTTCGTAGCTAACCTGATCCGTGGAGAAGCCTAATTACTGAATATGGGGAGTACATAGAATTGTGCTTTGATGCCTAGGCTCATTTCAACAAGAGTGAAACCAGCTGTTCTTCCTAATCTACTGACTGTGTGGAACATTGTGTGCTTTTTGAAGAAAATGCTGTAGCACAAAGTCATACAATGGCTTTACACTCTGCTTTGTGGTATATATTGAAAGGGAAAACAGTTCATTTGGAAGAGACATGGTTTGTTCACTGTGAGTGAAATCATAGTGTAGAAAGCGTGTCTTTTCTTTAACTTTAACTGCAAGCTATTGCAAAGTTACTTAGAAGCATTTTTGTTAGAATTACAGAAGCTACACCATTACAGTCAAGTAAGTAAATCCTCTTTACAAAGATTTACAAAGAAGGTACAGCACGGAAACAGGCCACTTGGCCCAACCAGACCGTGCCGGTGTTTATATTACACACGAGTCTCCACACGTTCCTTCATTATTACTTCCTATACTGTCCTATTACCCTCTACTGCATGTGAAGGTCTAACTTCCTCTTGAATGATCGATACCAGTGGTGGCCAACCTATATGGTCGGCCAACAAAATAAATATTTATTTATATTTAATATTTATTTATGCCGATTGACACTGACTTACCCAGAGTCATCTGAATTTTCGGGGAGTCACTTGATGGCCCGGCATCACAGGTTGACCACCACTGATCTATACAATCTGATTGAACTACTGCTTCAGGCAGCGAGTTCCACAATCTCACTACCCTCTGCATGAAGTAATTCATCCTAAATTCTCTTTTGGATCCCCTAGTCTCTACCTTAGTTACAGTCTTACCAATCAGCAGAAGCAGTCTCCTCATATCACTCAATTAATTTCTTTGTCAGATAGCTATCTAATTTGCTGACACAATCTATCTCCACCTCATCTCTCTAAGCTTCAGTCTTAGATTGCTCTTGTAGCAGCTGTGACTATGTTAAACATATTACGGTGGAAAGCTGAACGTCTGCACTAATTGGGAATGGTCCCATTGTGGATATGGAAATTGTGTGAAAAACAAGTAATCAAATACAAATTGTAACAATACCAACAAATTATTCTTCCATCAGGAATTATACTGTTACCAAAGTACAGTATGTACCACACTCTGCCAGCCCCTCTCTTTCTCTCTCTGCCTTGCTCTCTGACTTTTTACTCTCTCTCTCTCTGATTTGTTTTCTCTTGCTGCATCTTTCTTTGTCTCTATATGTCTGTCTTTGATTTTCTCTCTCTTTGACTTACCCTAAATTTCTATCTTCCTCTTTCATTCTTTTTCTCTGATCCCTTTCTCTTTCTCTGCTGGGGAGCCCAATGCAGATTTGTTGATAGTCTGATTTTCATCTCCTCTGCCTTTAAAGTAATTGCTCTGAGATAGCTCAAAACCAGTGTTTCTCTCCTATAGAGTAAGCAACCTCTCTGCTTGTCGGCCTCCCCAACTCCTCCCTCCATAGGCTGCAGATCATCCAGAACTCTGCAGCCCGTGTCCTCTCCCGCATCAGGCTCCGTGACCCTATCAACTCCATCCTCGCCTGATGCCACTGGCTTCCCATCACACAGAGGATACAATTCAAGATCCTGGTCCTCACTTCCAAAGTCGTCCAAGGCCTTGCTCCCTCCTACCTCTGTGACCTCCTAACCCCCTACCAACCTGCCTGCTCCCTCCGCTTAGCGGGCTCTAGCCTGCTTCATGTCCCCCTCCCTACTATTGGCGGGTGGGCCATCAGCCACTCTGCCCACACCCTCTGTAATTCCACCCCGCAGTCCAATCAACTGACATGTTTCATTTCGGTCCAACCCCCTCCGTTGCCTCCTTCAAGACTCATCTCAAGACCCTCCTCTTCAATCGTGCCTTCGGTCACCCTCCTTCCCCCCTGTGCCCTCCATCCTCCCCAATCCAGATCCCCAGCTCAGGTCCGAAACACTGATTGTTCAGCACCTTGGGATATCCTCACAACAACAACAAAATTACATTTATAGAGCGCCTTTCACGTCGGGAGGACGTCCCAACGTCACAACGTGAAACACGCTATACAAATGTAATGTTGTTTTGTTATTTAGAGATCACGTTAGTTCCTTTTTTAAAATGCCTACATCGTAGGTAATGGGTATCCAAAAAATGGGTACATCGTAAATGATCTGTGTAACATAGACCAATCAACTGACACATTTCATCTCGGTCCAACCCCAAACATCTGTCAATCAGATCTTGGGGTTTGGACCAAAATGAAACGTAATTGATTAATCAATGTTACACATGATCATCTGACAACAGTCGCATACGTGGGAAAACCAAGAACTTTGACCTGACAAATCTTGGATTGTAAAAAAAATTGCACACACAGCATGCC